TGTAATAATTTGTAAGTAATTGTTCAAAATAATAACTATAACTAACATAGAGTTACAAAACAGTACAGTAATTTATGCGGCCTAAATCGGCGGCTTAAATACTTATATTTTGCAGTTCCTGTATAACCCAAAAACATCAAATTTCAAGCATCAAGTTATATCAAGGGTAATAACGGGTAAAAGACGAAATTCGACTTGTTTTTAACTGACAACTACTGCAACGGTTTAACTGACAGAACAAATAAAAACAACGCTTCAAATACCGAAGAAGTTACTTGGGAAAAAACAGTTAACGATTTTTAATAGAGTTTTTTTTTTATTAAAACAAACGTAATAGTAATAGACCCTCTACTCCTAAACAAATACATTACCCTCCCTGCCCCTTCTTATTAGACTGTGGTTGCCACCCTAACACAAGAGATTAGGTTTCCACATTCCATGCCAAAAAATTATACACAATTTTCCTCATGTAAATTCGTTCATCTAATGTTAATAAATTGTTTCATAAAAATAAAATGTAATTCTCTATGATCTTTAAAAACCTTTATTCCCTATAAAAGAGTTTGAAACTTTAAAATATATACAAAACATAAATGCAATTTTAGAAAGTTAAATGACCCAACATTTTTAAGAAAGTGAGATCTAGAAAATTCACTGTAAGGAATCGTTGTATTAAATGCTAAAAATATGCGCATTCGTGAATAAGATTAACCACTGGCAACAGAAGCTTTCAGAATTCAAGCTGGAATTTCATTTTCTTATTTAAATAAATTTAAGCTTAGTTTTTCTACACATGCATCAACATTTTAAATTACACACCACGACGAGATTGTGTTCACCCTCCCAGCATCTCTACAATTTGAAGTCCTCTAGAACATCACGTTCCTGAGAACCTTTCGTTATCCTCTGTTTCTTTAAAATCTGTATTATGTCATACACTTATGATTTCATATGAAAAAAACTGAGTTCGATGTGCTTCGAACAAATGAGTACTGGTCATTAATTAATTACTATAATTGAGATTGTGGACGCGACCGACCCGACGCTTGTGGGTCGATTACCTGAATCAAGTTGTAATATTTTTTTTCTTTTCCATCATAAAGATTAACGAGTTTTAGTACTGGTCCTGTCCAGGTCCTGATCCCTGTGACACAGATCGGCCTGGACCGATGTAACATGTTTCAATTTTAGAGGCGTCTTAGCTAGTAAAGTATTCAAACATTATTGAATCGATATATTGCATTCGAATCATATCGAACATGTTTCGATATCCACTTCCCGTATATCGATTAGTATCTCTATTACGTAGACCAATAATAATTATATAGGCCTTTGTGTAAAGTGAATGTCATTATTACGATAATAGTATTAAAACTTAAAAATAAAACACAATCAACTTAAAAATACAATTATTTAAGGTCGAATTTGGTATTATAGACATAAGTTATTCTATTAAAACCGGTCGTGTTTATAAATATCGATACATACTGAGTAAAAATGAAAGGAATGTAATCAATTTATATATTAAAAATCGCAGATCCTAAAAAAAACCTTAAAGCAATTTTTGATCCATTTTTTTTAAATCTCCAAAGGGAATGATAGCGAAAATGATCAGATCATTAAGCCTAACAGAGCTGAGTCCGCAAATTTAGTTATCTCAATCGAAAAAGCACCCTATATCTAGTGAAGTTCATTTTAATATCGCTTTACGTAACATTTAACTTTCAATGACACGATAATAATTATAAAACAAATGAATGTATTTGGAACTCTAACGACTAGAAACGAAGGATAGTGTAATGTAGTTATCTTCGTCGTAACATTCCACTGTTTTTATTTTTAGTTTACGTAGTATTTTACAGATATGAGACTATGAGAGCCTTATTTCCTTTATAACTGGTAAGATGCCCGAAGCCTTGTTATAGGTTGAAAAAAAAATACTACTACAATTCGTCTACTATTTTTATATTTTTAAATGTGTATTTTTATTTCTTAATCGCAATATATACGTTAAAATGTGTAAGTATATAAAATAAATAAAGAGAGTAGCAATAATAATTTTAAACATCTCACACACGGCAGACCTCAAACTAAGCAGACCCTGTACTACGGTAACCAGACTGCTGATAAACATACATATATATTTCTAAATACATTAATATTATAGAAATAAGTTAGACGTATTTCTGACCACGTAACGTTTTACTGAACATTTGCATTTTTTTTTATAAAATAGACAGACACTAAAAACCTATGTATCTAAATACGGGCCTTACGGGCAAATGGCTTAAATATATACATATGTTCACTTCCAACACTGCTTTATACAAATATAGTAATATTCTGTGCAACTTTTTTTTTTTTTTTAATTATAAATATAAACTGTAGTTACCGCAAAATTAAAAAAAGTTGCTAATAATCTTCTTAAACCAGGACTAGCAGAACTTGCATTTCTTTCAAACACGTATATTATTACCAAAATACCAAAAAATATCACCTGCATTATTAAGGAATTATCGCTGTCAATCACATATCTTAATAATATCTCCAAAATGAATGATATCGAAAATGATCACATCATTAAGTCTAACAGAGCTGAGACCGCAAATTTAGTTTTCTCAACTTGAAACTAATGTCTGCGTAATGTTTGGACTTGACTTTTGGACTTTTAAAGTAGCTATCTTAAAAGTAACATTAAATGTTTGTTAAAATCCAACGTTTTATGATTAATGAACGTCTTCAACTTAGGAGTCACAAACGCGTTGCCGGCCTCTTAGGAAGGAGTAGGTACGCTCTTTTCTTAAAGGTTTGAATGGTCGTATCGGTTCGGAAATACCACAAACAATAACTTGTTCCACAGATTAGTTGTACGAGGCAAAAAGTGACTTAAAAAGCGCACAGTGGTAAAGCGCTAATTATCCAGGGGATGGAGATGAAAATTTTGCCGTGTGGAACGATGGCGGAAAGCTGCGGCCGGTACCTACTAGTTCTTAAAATTTCCAAGATACTTTTTACTACCGAAGTGACCTTACTACTGTATTACAATACTAAATTCTATAATTTGAATAATGACGGGCCTGTTGGTCTAGTGTTTAGTGACCCTGACTGCTAAGCCGGAGGTTGTGGGTTCGATTCCCACCCAAGACAGGTATTGTGTGATAAGCACAGTCATTTGTTCTGTGTCTGGGTGTACTTTGTCTATAGTGTGTATGTATTGGGAGATGTATGAGTATGTTTATCGGCGGTCTGGTTACCATAGTACAGGCTCTGCCTAGTTTGGGATCAAACGGCTGTGTGTGAGATGTGTAAGAAATATTATTAGTATCAGAGCAATAAATATTTTTATAAATATTTTTTTACCTCATTAATTTGTATATAAAAAATCGGTAACATCAAAGGATAACAAAACAATAAACATCATATTTTTAAACGTTGGCCTTAGTGGGGACATCAGCATGGGTGACAAGACCAAGGGATTATCTAAACGGGATTATTTCAAAATAACATTGACGGCAAGGGCTCGGGGATAACGCAACGACCCGGCACTAATCGCGCCTTTCAATCTATACTTCATTCGATACTTTTGTGGCTTCGCCAAGAAACCTTACAACAACAGTTTTTTCAGTACGATTGCACACCACATTGTACTTACATAAGGATTTCCGCATTGAAGTTAATTATGCGGAATTAGGGATCATTAAGGCTGCTTTGATCAAGAATTTCTGCGACGGAACAAAATATTAAACGTAATTACTCTGATGAACCTGTGTTTGCGGTGTCATTTTTCAATTCAGCACCTTTATGTCTCTAACAAAGCTGTTTTGCACCGATTACTCCATTATTTATCATGAATAAATAAATCGATATATTTCAACACTAAAGTTATTGAATCTGAATTTCGAGCAAACGAATTGTAAAATTGTCAGAAACCACAAAAATGCCAAAGTACCGTTATAAGTTACATTTTAAAACATAAGAACTATTTTTTTTTACCTTTTACGAAAATCCTTATAGAATCGCTATCGAAGCAAAAAAAACAGCCAGATGTCTAGCTTAAATAACAAATACAGGTGGCGGTGGCTAGGCAACACTAGCATTTTATTCACAGTAGAATGTGTAACATTGGTATGTAATGAAAGAAATTCTAACTAGTGCTAGTTGGAATTTGTTTGGTTTAAGTTAGGTTATTCCTAAATCGCAATATGGTCATGCAACTTTCACTATTTAACATTCTCCACTATCTCTAATACCGATTTCTCAAATATGTATGTATGTGTACTTTCTTCATACGATTAAATTGATACTTTTTTAAGTAAAGCACTCTCTTTGTCAGACCTACCAGTGAAAATCCGTTCGTCCCTAAAGTTGCATTGATGCCCTTATAATTTACTAGCTGACCCGCGCAACTTCGTCTGCGTCTCTCAATAGTAATAAATTTTCTCCGTTTTTGAAACATTCTTCATTGGTGCTCCGCTCCTATTGGTCTAAGCGTGATGATATATAGCCTATAGCCTTCCTCGATAAATGGGCTATCTAACACTGAAAGAATTTTTGAAATCGGACCAGTATTTCCTGAGATTAGCGCGTTCAAACAAACAAACAAACAAACAAACAAACAAACTCTTCAGCTTTATAATATTAGTATAGATTATCAGTACAAGTTCAGTAGTAGTAAGTCAACTGATTGTAGAACTACAAGGAAATTAATAATTTTATCAGAATGAATAAAAGATTAATTCATTAAATATTCAAACCAACTCGACACCAGCTAAACCGCTGATTTAATATTGCATGACACAACTTTCAGTGATACTTACATTTGTCTGGTCAACTTAAATAAAGTAAATACATATAAATATACAATTATCATTAATAATTTATTTTACTTTCGAGGATAAATTTCTCTTGTGTTTTAAATATAACAATATTCATAAAACAACATCAGATTACAAATAAACAGTTTGACATCTTTCTGAAAATCAAAAAAATTATGATAGTACTTACTCAGTTTCGTTGTTTTCGAACACAATGTGGCCTTGTGCGGCTTCGTATTGCACCCCGTTCTTCGCAGTACCATCTTCTGTCCAGTATGGCACCCTGACCTTGCCGCGGGCACCCGCCGTTCTCACGACTTTCAAATCAAAGGTCCCTACAGATTCTGTGAGTTCAAAGTCACGCGTAGGAAAAGAAAACACACCAGAATGATCATCGTCTAAAATCACTACAGTGGCCGTAGATGGTGACGCTAAAGTAGCACCTCTAGGAGTTTTCAAGCGTACGTAAAAATGCTCATCTTCTTCGAAGACGTCATCATCTATTACTTGAACGCTAAAGGTCTTTTCCGTCTCTCCTTGCCGAAAGACTAAGGCTCCTTGCGCCGCTATGTAGTCTGACCCAGCTTCTGCTGTTCCATCTTCAGTAGTATAATGAACAGTTACTTCGCCGTTTAAATCACCGGCTCTAATGACTCTTACATCAAACGATCCGCAATTTTCCATAACTGTGTAGTGGTCTGGATCAAAACGAACGTTTGGCCCACGTGGTTCGAGAGTTGGTGTTCCTGACTCCCGTCGCTGTAATTCTGCTTTCACTTCGCTAAGATCACTTTGAGCTCGTTCTGAAATTTTTCTAGAGAAATCTCCTCCACCAGTCATTTTCCGAGTAGCTGCTACTCTATAAAACGCTCTTGACTTGGGACCTTTTGACATCAAAGTTTCCAATGCCATCCTTTCAACTGTTTCTAAATCTTCTTCTGGATGTTGTCTTCTTAATTCACGCAGTACTGTTACGTATTCTCTTCTAGATTTTTCAATTTCCCTGCCTTCTTCATCATCCGAAGCAAACTCATCTCCACTCGGTTTAAGAGCCATTTCAACTGAACCATCACCCTCACCCTCAACTATAACTCCTCGCTCATTTACGCGATATCCTTTTTTCAGATATTTGTAAACTAGCAACCGTCGGTCTGCAATATATGCCGTCAAAACCGTAGCTGGGAAGAAAAGAAACGTGACAGCACCTTCCCACATTTCAACTTCACTGGGTGATATTACGTCTAATATAAGATAGAGCCATACATAAGCAAAAATGGACCACGTCGCTGTCACTAGAAACACTCTCAGATGTTTGATTTTCCTTACTTCTCCATCTGGTATTACACTTACACAGATGGCTATGATGACAAACAAATTATAAGCGGCTGATCCAACAATGGTTCCTGGACCTAAATCACCAGCTTCAAAATTCTTGCCTGCTATTTCAATGACAGATAATAAGATCTCAGGTGCGCTGGATCCTAAAGCCATCAAAGTTAAATTAGCAACGGTCTCATTCCAAACTCTAACAACAACAATCTGTTCGCTGCCATTTCGTCGTACGCGCACCTCTTTCTCTCTCGAAGTGATAACTTCTATAGCGGCCATAAATCTATCAGAAACGATTGAAACTCCAATGAAGAGGTACATGAGAGCTAAAAAGTAAATAACGCCGCGAAAGGCAATTTCGAGGGTCGGCACATCTTCGAGGGGTTTCCACGCGGGGAGAACGAGCCCATCGCTACATGAAAGGACGTGTTGAGGTGTAGTATTGCGCGGGATGAGGCGCGCAGACGGCTCGGCGCGCACAACTACGATGCAAGCCGCGATCGCGGCGAGCGCGGGCCGCATGCCGCGTAAGTGCCGGCGACCGGCGCTGTACGTGGCCGGCGCCCGACTGAACGTCACGACGCACCACGTCTCCCCGGCCCCGCACCCTCGTTTGCTATTTCCGCGTGATATTCTTGCCTAATATTCAGTAGATCAACTCAAAACAGAAGCAAATGTGCTCTTTGACTTAACTTAATACCGAGATTAAAGTTCGAAGTACAACCCCATAGAATTATTCAGTTTCAATGCTGTCGAATACAGAAATTCCGTACTAATGAATACAACGCAAAACTAAGTTTGAAGGCTTTCGCTTGTTGGAGTGATGGTTAGAATTCTGTTTTCGGGTGTGTAGGCTCTTCGGTAGACGCACGTACTTTTACCTCAGTTGATCGAGTTTTATTAGCGTTGCGGCCCTTAAAGTTGGCGACAGAGGAAAAAAGTTATTAGAGGCGTACCTACGGGGACCTTATTAAAAGTTAGTTTAAGTAGCGAAGGTATGTTTTAGGGTAATTTTCAAAAAAGTTCATTAACGCTACTTAAGTTGGACGCGTTCAAAATTTAACTAAGTTTATAGGTGTATTTTGCAGCTTACATATTTTAGGTGAAGATAATTTTTCAGCCATTTGCTTTCTAATGTTGATTTACTTACTAGCATATTTTTAAGACCAATTAATTCTTATTAAAGCGCTTTTTTTAAATTTATGGTAATTTAAAATATAAAATTATTGTGATTGTATAAGCTTAATGATAATATTGTATTAGTATTGTAATAATATTATTATACTCTTCGCGTTTTAAATATATGCATGTATTATAAGGAAGGATACTACTATTGTTTCGCGCGATTGCATTTTTTAAAATAACCTTTAAGTCCTATTATCATTATCATCATCATCAGCCTATCGCAGTCCACTGCTGGACATAGGCCTCTCCCATTGCACGCTACTTAGATCGATTTTTCCTATTATCGTATGTTCGAAAATATTTCTCGTAACACATTACATCATAATGGTCACTCTTCATAAAAATATTTAATACTAACGATCAAAACTCATACTCAACAGAATTCATAATATCATTAATCATACAACCAGCCCTCATTGACCATATAGTCATGGGATCCGAGTGCTCTTGCTTCGCTTTTTAACCGTTTGGAGTTGAGATAATAGTGTCTCGACTCTGACTTTTTTTTTCTTTTTTTTTAAAGACTACTTCCGCATTAGGAATATGTCCTGTGTCGCGGGGGACTTTACAAACAGACATGAAACGGACACAAAGAACACCCAGATTCAGAACGACAATTTTTGGATCACACAAAGTGTCGTCCCATGTGGGGATCGAACCCACAACACTCAGCGTAGTAGGAAGCGGCGTCGTGACCGCTTAAACCACTACGCCATCCGTGCAGTCAACTCCACGTATAACATTCCCCAATTACCAATAAAATTTGTATTTAAGTAGTTTAACACTTTACGCGATTGCTGCAGTAGCGCCAGATGTGCCTGAAAGATGTGATGATGCGAGGGTGTCGACATAAGTAATGAAATTATTTCATATATTTTTTCCATTCACAGATTAATCCATTTATAAACTTTCTTCAACTTTCTGACACCAGAACACCCAAATCATGACAGTCATATTCGTTCAAATGTTAGGTGAAAGATAATACTTTTTATGATAAGACATAATGTACGAGTATTTAATGTCAAGTGCAGAATATATATAACAGAAATCCGTAAAACCTAAATGAAAAAAATACCGCATGAAATGGAAATTCCCGCTAGAATATTCCCACGCATTATTAAACAAGTACTTACTATCGGCAGACACGAGCCCTAGGTAAACATATTCCTGCATTTTAAGAAGCTAGACTATTCAGATTATTTCACTAGCAGTAACTAAAGTAGAAAAATAAAGTTAAGAGTCCTGAATGACGTAGTTAAATCGTAAAAGTGCTAACAAAACTTGCAACAAAACGACATATCTCATCAATCTCTTGCGTTTCGAAGCAAATATTTGTAAAATATATATATATCTTATTGATATTACTATCACAGTATAATGCCAATGGTACAAATAGGTTCGCGACAGACACTTTAAGTGAAATCAAAATTTAATTGTTCAGTAAAGAATGATTTAATCAGGAGAGTAGCCTTCGGACAATCTTTACAAAGAACGACTATTAATTTAACAGTCACAAGGTAACGGGGAAATAAACAGGCTTGCAAAACAATGTTTTAAACTTTATAAGTGTCCCTTTGACCTTCAATCACTCCAGACATAAACAATCAATCACTCCAGACATAAACACCTTGGACTCAAGGGTGTAGCCACGATAGTGGAGGGTGAAGCACTTACGCTACCCTGGATGCCTTAAGCCCTTATCACTAAGCGAATACTATGATTAAAAAAAAAAAATATCGAAATACGTATGTTATTTATCAGAAAGTACGAAACATGATACAAAATTTTTACGCGCGGGAACCACAGCGTATCAGCAAGATCCTTTGACTGCACATTAATGTCAGTGCGAAATACATGGCATATTCAAATCATTCCTCGGGTCACCCAAATACTTGTTAAACTAAAAAATGCCTTAATTTACCACGGACAGTACCTACATAACGCATAGATCCGAGTCCAAGAAGAATTGCATATACTTTTTTTAATCTTCTAGTTTAGAAAATTTTACACTAACGATAAATGATGCATGATAAATGCATGCAAAAGCATGATAATTTCTGTAAGTAAAGGTTTACTTACTTCAGATATTTTTAAGACAAGTCATACTTTACAGCTAGAAGGAGCCGGCATTTCCTAAAACTAACTCTGTGAAGAAACGTCGAAACAAACCACAGAGGTGTATTTTTTTAGTCCGTTTATAAAATAAAAGAAAACTGTACGAATACTGCATGGGATCCGGGTAGGCCTTTAAAAGAAAGGAACATAGTTTTGTGTTGGCCTATCCATACAGACGGCATACGGGCCCAAGCCATCTTGTAGCCTAACCGATATTGGTCAAGATCAACGACCCGAAGCACGACATTCAGGTAGGCCGTGAACACAGTCAATACCACCAGAAACTTACTAAAAATATGAACTAACATTATAAACCTACACTATACTTACACTTACTTACAACTGTTAACACATTAACTCATCACCTCGTCCATCGTCCGTATTCACCTCGTCACCTGAAAAAGGGTAGTTTTATTGCATTCCTTTAAATGCGGATGTTAATACTTTCCAGCAGCCTTTGACCGCTAAGTACAACATTCTGTAATAAAATGATGAACTTTTCTAGCCGTTACATAAAAGTGATGTTTATCAGTAAGTAACGTTTGGGTTCGAACACGCAATTTATCGATTGAGTGCCAACAACCAACCTATATGAACTCTCTTTTACTAAGAAATTAATAAAGTAGTTTTAGAATCAGTAATATTCATTAAAACAAAATATAACAACTCTTATATCTACATATGTATCAGTCTGAATTGCTACCCACTAGATTTTTGCCTGATGGTTAGTGATTTTGGAAACTTGCTAAACCAGAGGTCGTAGGTTTGGTTCCCACCCAGGACTAATAATTGTACCATGAGAACGATCATTTGATCATTGTGTCTGAGTGTAATTTACCCATAATATGTATGTATTTAAAGATGTAAGTATGTATGTTTGTTTTATCCGTGTGGCGACGGATTAAGAATACGAAGTATCACCACCCATTTTTTTTTCCGTGCGGAAATCCCCTCAGATACCACCTATCGGTGGCATGTCGGACTCGAACCGACTAAAACCACACGCCGTTTCGGGTACTAATAGCCGGGGAACCAGGTATACCCTAGAAAGGAAGTCCCTGTTGCCCCGACATACCTCGGGCCATCTACAACAAGTAGACGACCCCCCCGTGTGGGGCCACCCCTATTCATCCCGTGGGTATCGTAGAATTTGACTAAGGGAGTTGTTGTTGATGATGACTGTTGATGATGATGAAGATGGTGAAGTATGCTTATCAGCAGTCTGGTCTGGTCTGTCCTTGTGTGAGACGTGTAAGGTTTTTTTAGAGATATAGGAGACAAATGAACAGAGAGACCACCTGATGGAAAGTGACTACCGCCGCCTATGAACACCTGCAACTCAGTAGGCGTTTGAGGTAGTTTTACGCTATCTATCTCCTCTCGACATGGAAATCTCATTCTTTTTTTGCGATTGCGATTTTATCCCATACCTGATCACCACGTACATCCATACGTCGAATAAAACACCTTGAGGTACGGCATAAAACATTAATCATCACTCAATACCTGAGCACAGAACGCGTAATAACAAATGGCTCAAATAATAATTACACTCCTTTTATATAATGAAGAAAATTAACTGAAATGTTCCATCGACTATTACCAACGGTTCGTACGTGGTATGGTTTGTAGCACACGCAAATGTCCACTTAATATTGAACTTGTAATTACGTACTTGTTCGTACGAATCTTGAAACAAATATTACGGCGTTAGTTGAGAAAATTACACATATTACAATAATAATATATATTTTTTAATAATATTTCTGGACATCTAACACACAACGCCATCTAGTTTCAAACTAAGCAGAGCTTGTACAAAGCTACGTTGACTTATAGAATACTTATACACTTTTTTTTAATACATACATATTATACATAGAATACATAGGTTATTACCCAAACTCCGAAACAAATATTTGCAAATCATAGAAACATTTGGTCTGACCCAGGAATCGAACCCGAGACGTCATCACAGCTTATACTACCACCGCGCCACTGAGGCAGTTGAAATGAATACTGAAATGTTTGAATAGGTATAGGTCGAAACGTGCAGACGTATCACCAGATGATAGTGATTACTGCAACCCATTGACGACTCCCTTTAAATACTCTCCCGAGAATCAGAAATAAACGGTGTTGGGTTCTGGTCACTTCGCTCAATTAGTGAAAAGCAAAGAAAAAATGGCTTAAGAGTGGTTTTTCCTTCTGTCTGTCGAGCC